TGCCTACGAGGACAGTTTTAACTGTACAGTTCAACTAATGGTTAAAATATTGCCTACGAGGACAGTTTTAACTGTACAGTTCAACTAATGATTAAAATATTGCCTACAAGGACAGTTGTAACTGTACAGTTCAACTAATGGTTAAAATATTGCCTACGAGGACAGTTTTAACTGTACAATTCAACTAATGGTTAAAATGTTGCCTACAAGGACAGTTGTAACTCTACAGTTTAACTAACAGTTAAAAATTTCAGTTAAAACTGTTTTAATTCTTGCCATTAACTCAAGCAATACAAATATAAAGACTTGTGTACAATGAGGGTCAAACCGGTTAGATATGTCCCTACCAGTCGGGCAGAGTCGGGCAATATGACGGGCGGGTAAGACTGAACGCTTCATGTACATTGTATAGTGAGAATACGACGTTCAATATCTCTGGTACACTAAAATATAAATAAACAAAATAATCAATACAAATTCCTTAAAAATTACTTTGAAATATTCAGTCGTTATAACCGATTTCTTTAACGAGATCGATTTTTATCGATGTTTTTAAATCGTTTGTGTCAAAAGTTCCAAAAGCATGTATCTATATGACAGTGAAAACGTACGGTACCAGAGGTAAGTCTCACATCTCACTTAGCTAAGTTAATACAAGTTAAGTTTAAGTAAGTTGCCGGCCGACCTCCGCCTTACAATGAATTAAGATGAAATTGTTTAATGAATTTATAGATATTGTAAAAACACGGACCTCTAAAAATTGGTTTAGGATCAGAGATAATGAGCCTAAACCAATTTTACATTCTGTAAATCTGTTTTCTACTAAGTTTCCGTATTCCAATAAATTTCCTAATTCCATTAAATAACTTTATTCCCTTAAATTTCCTTATTCCATTATATTTCCATATTCCATTAAAATTCCTTATTCCATTAAATTTCCTTATTCCATTATATTTCCATATTCCATTATATTTCCATATTCCATTAATTTTCCTAATTCCCCATTAATTTTCTTATTCCATTAAAATTTCTTATTCCGCCAAGTTTCCGTATTCCATTAAAATAGTTTTGATGTTTCGACTGAACTTTTAAATTAATACCTTAATATTACATAGAAAAAAAATATAGTATGAAGTGTTCTGTTAAAAATGCTCAAAATAACTTAGATAAGAACCAAAGAGCCTAAATCTAGTGGTTTTGTGTTACCTAAACTGTATTCCATTAAAATTGTATTCTGCTGAAGTCGTTTTTGGTTTTAGTGTCATTTATTTTCAAATGGTATGTCATTATGAAACCGTTTTACCATATATCTTTAGTAACTTGGTCTCAAAGTTACTGAAGACTTATATTTTAGAGGTCCGTGAAATAAGATTAATTCTTAATTATTGACTTTTATTCACGATCTTCTTTACAAGTAATAAAATTGGAGTGTCTGTTTGTAGCATCAAAAGAAAATTTTCAGATTACTCGAAGATTTGCGTTGCTAAAGCCGCGTTTATTCCGGGTAATCTCCGAAATGGCTGAACCGATATCGACCGGACTCTCACAGAAGGGTAGCTTACATAGACTGCCATATAGGATACTTCTTTTTATTTATTGACTAGCTGTTGCCCGAGACTTCGTCCATGCAATATGATAAAAAAGAAGCCTAAAATATGCCCGTCCATGTCAGCAATCCTTTAGTGAAAGACTGAGTGAGTGAGCGACTTGCGGACACACAGACAGACAAATTTTTGAAAATATATCGTTGACTTGAAATCTGGATTTTTTTTGGATATTACAAACTGACACTCCAATTTATTACATGTATAGATTACATTCTGTGCCCCCACAGTGGTGTCACTAAGGAAGGGGGGCACTGGAGGTCTGTGAATGTTATCTCTGCATGTGTTCAGTCGGCCGGCGGTTGTTGAACATTATATTGGATATGAATAAAATATTTATTCACATGTGAGTTTTATTTGTACCTCTTATAACCGGTTTCCCAACTAAATTAACCGTTCATTAGTTTGGTTCGATAACGAAATGCGTCGAACGTAAACTGAGTTACTCCGTTACTTAAATTAATTTTATTGCCTAATTCGCTGCTAATCCAAAACGACGGCGATATTGACCGTGACGTGAGAAATAGAATAAAAGCGGGATGGATGAAATGGCGACTGGTTACAGGTGTAATATGCGACCCGCATATTCCCCTTAACATAAAGGGGAAAAGTTACAAAACCGTCGTAAGACCTGTCATGATGTATGGATCTGAATGTTGGGCAGTGAAAGGGGCGGATGAAAGGAGACTACACGTGACAGAAATCCGAATGTTAAGTTAAGATGGATGTGTGGGGTAACACGATTGCATAAGATACGAAATGAATATATTAGAGGAAGTTTCAGAGTAGCCCCAGTGGTTGAGAAAATAAGGAGTAAAAGGTTAGAGTGGTATGGACATGTTATGAGAAGGGATGAATCGCATGTTACAAGAAGGATGTTAGTTATGAATGTGTAGGTACACCGGTAGAGGTAGACCTAGAAACAGATGGATGGATTGCGTGAAAGGTGACATGATCAAGAAGGGAGTGATGACTGAGATGACGGATGATAGAATGCTTTGGAGGACAAAAACCCGGTGCGCCGACCCTACGGGAGTAGGATAAGGCAGGGGAGATGATGATGAATTCGCTGCTGATGTGACCTCTAAAAATCCTAAATAAATATTAAGGTCGTTTGTGCGGCGTCTGTTACTTAATGAGTCCATTTTGAAAACCGAGGCTTATACCCCGAGATACAAATGCTATGTGTAGGTATGTATGCGATTCAGTAAACACATTTACTGAATCGCATAATATTCTTACCATTCTATGGGAATTGATTGAATAAAAATGATTGCAAACGATACTTCCATAACCCATGTGACTTAGCACTCGAGCAGTGTTTCTCAAAGTGGGCGATAACGCCCCCTCAGGGGCGTTTGAAACGTAGATAGGGACGTTATAAGGCCCCTGAAAAAATTGGGGGCGTTGATATGGGTTAGAGGGGCGATGCATAATTCGTAATTTCATTTATTTTATATGGTTTTTTAAACTTTACTAAAATTATATTTAAATGGGCGCTGAAAGATCATTGATTTTCAAAGGGTAAAAGAAATAAATTTGATATAATTACGCTGCACTAGAGCATTGAACAGTTATTCTTGATTTATTGCGTTTAACCACGCGAGCTTCGTTTTATTAAACCTAAAAGTTGTGCCGACTTCTTTACTTCGGCGACGTGGGTTTTGAAATTAAATGTCTTTTTAAATGTGACCCCTAAGTTTTGGAAACCACTTCTGTCAGATTGATATTTTTTTTTGTACCCCCGAGGAGGGACCTCTTCGGGTACCTGCTGCTGTCGCTAATGCAGCAACCTTGTTACCGCCAGGTTGTTTTTAAGCAATCTATGAGTTTTAGTTTGTTTGTTCAAAATGTTATTATGACAATTAGTTGTTAAATTCGAATTTTAATTATAATTTTTGTTACATTAACAATAATATAGATATTAAAAAATAATATAAAGAATAATATAATATAAAATAGAAAATTAACATAATAAATGCGGAGATTTAGATGGGCGGATGCCTGTTAGAGTCTGTAGCCCAAACTGCTGAGTCGATCTCGATGAAATCTGACATAAACATAATGG